TTTTCAATTTCAATAAAATTCGCCCTTGGGCGTTTAAAAAAAAAATATATATATAATGATGGTTAGCTAGCCTTACAAAAGTCATCTTCAAAGATTAAAGGCAATTAAACACAAATACGGCAAATCCCCTTCATTACAGAATAATTGGATAGAAAAATATCAAATTCTTACTATTTAATACATGGAATGCTTTGAATCTTTCTTTCTTTTTTGAACTTTTTTTTTTTTGAACCCATCATAATATAAAAAAATTAGAATTAATAACAATAATTCAAAGAGACTTCAATGATCAGCACTGATGATTTTGTTTCTCCATAGATTAGAAATCTATGATTATTTGAATTAAGAGGTCCTAATTTCGAGGCAACAAGTATCATTTCACCAAACATTGAGCCCAACAATTTATTAAGTGATTTTTTTCATATTTTGGGAACTGGCAGCAGTAAAAATGACCAACAATTTAGTTCGAAAATCAATCTTTAAGGAAGCTTTGATTTTACAAGGAAACACTACAAATTTGTAGCATCATTCAGAGAGCTAAATCTTTTTTAACGTCTGCAGGAATCTAGTTAAACGTCTAACAGCTGAGTTGAAAAAGAAATATTCCAGCGGTGTTTTAATGCCAAGTGCCATCTACAATTAATATCTCCAATTTACAGAATTTATCTGTAAAAAAGTACCAAAAAAAACACTCACTCAAGTCACATACGCAACTAAAGAGTGCTAAATAGGCAATATAACCAGTTTGAAGATGAGTTTCCAAAGCAAGCAACAAAGTATATGTACAAATCATACATAACGTAAGCAAGGGAGGACCTCCATTCTGCTTAGAAAATACCACACTTCGACAAATTATTAAGAACTTCAGCCTTACGCCACCAATCTTGCTTCTTCAGTATCTGGAACAACTATATCCAGTCTCATCATAGGCCTATAAGCATCAGGTATCTCTGCACCAGCCTGCACACAAACCTCTACCACAGCTGGAGCCTTCCCATAGAACCTCTTGAGAGCACCAGTTGGCGGTGCCCCCTTGGGATCCTTCATATGCCATACAAAGTTTGGTGGCATCACCTCATCAATGGTTGCATCCTGCCACCCATGCTTCCCATCCCTCCACTGGTGTTTAAAGGCCCCACAAAGCTTTGCATTATGACCCCATGGTCCAACATGGACCTCCGAGCAATACCCGCATGCCTTTACGGTATACTTCCTCATCAGCTGCCTTACACCACTCCTCACTGTGCTGTAAGCCTTCAAAGTCCTTTCTGCAGCCTTTCTGGTGTCAGCGGGTGGTGAGATTAATTGACTATTAAGGACTGCATACGTATCAATCTCAGAAAGCAGGGTCATTATTTCTTGAGATCTGCATGGCTTCGGCTCCTCCACAAATCCACCACGGTCAATCATCTTCTTGCCAAGCATTCTGACTGGAGCGGAACGTCTTCTGGAAGGGTATTGAGGCAACTCAACACCGGCTTGAATGCAGAGCTCCACAACTGCAGGTATTCGCTCATAATTGAAGCGAGTTTCGTGTTTGATGCGATGCCCAAATGGATCGAATAAGTGATAGGATTCGATAGGGATGAGGACATCATTGATGGTTCCGTGAATCCAAACATGCTGACTTCTTCGTTTAACATTTTGAGGACCGCTGCAATCTTGTATTGAATGGCCGGTGGAGCCAACATGGACTTCTGGGCATTCTCTGTTGTGCATCAAGAAAAGTTACTTAGTGCCAACTGGAACAACCTGTTTGGGATCTTGGGCACGGGCATGGAAAGCACGCAGACATAATGACTAGACTAAGCAACACCCAAGTTCTCGAAAAAGAAGGAAAGGTTGCTTGCCAATTTTGAAAATAGAGCCTTCATAGCATCAATTAGCAATCAAAAATAGCAGGCTATCATATTAAAAAAAAA